TGGGCGGAGGTGAGGAGGAAGCATCGGCGGCAAAAAGCAATAATTTACAGGAGCTGTAACTCAAGGAAAAGGCTGAGTTCAAGGTGTGTGCATTTAATATGCGAACTGGGTTGTGTACTGCAGGGTGAAGGAAATATCAGTCCATCGGACATCTAGCTTGTTGATTTCAGACATCGACAGAGCAAGGGCAACTTCCTGAATCCACCCTTCCCTTAAGGAAGACGAAGTGGCTGCTGACTTTCCAGTTGAGCTTTTCAGGGGGTCTAACACTCTATGTACCCCCACAGGGCCCCCTGCTCCCACCAGACCCTCCTCTCCACGGAGCCAATCTTTTCAATAAAGGTCTTGTCTCCAGAGAGTTTTTGGAAACATGCGAATAAGTCACCTCAAGCCCGCAGTTCCCACTGCGATATGACCGAGGATGGGACAGTGGGTCCTGCTGGAACAGAACAGCGGACACGTTCTGGCAGGGACGGGTCAGCCTCCTCTGGGGCAGGGACCACTGCACTCCAGAACCTCGCACGGCACAGGCAGGGGACGGCCACGGCGACAAGACGCACATGTACCGATTCCATCAGCCCGGCAAGCAGTGCTCGGGTTAACCCTGTGAGGTAACGACCTTTAGTTCAGACGTGAAAAAAATGGCGGTTCAGGGGCTCAGGGTCGCCCAGGCAGTAACGGGCAGAGCCGGATGGAAACCAGGCCACTGGGCCCCCCGATCTGTTCTGAACCCTTACACTGTGCTCTCTCCTTCAGCGAATACTTGTCAAAGACAGCTCTGAGGATTACTTCTTACCACAGCCACGTGAAAACTGAAGCCTTTTGTCCTGTGTGTTTTTATTGTGGGTGGAAAGGGTGTTTTGACAGTGGTAGCCTTCAGCATCATGGACTGAACCTCTTTACAGATTGCAAATAATTTCTCTCACCCTAGCGTGTGAGTCTGAACTGTGCAAATCGAGGGCTGGGGTGGTAGCTTTCCTGTAGCAGAAACAAGACAGAAGGAGAGAGAATTCATGGAAATCTTAAACCAAACTGCACTGCACAGTGCAAGCTGACGCTGCCTCTCGATCTGATGCTTCCTACCTGTTCCTACGTCCCCCAGGTCCTCTCCCTCCCCTTCACTTTCTCGCCGAGTATACACACGTGAGGATCACAGGGAGAGGTGCCCTGAAAGGAAGGCCATCACAGAAAGAGGCTAGATGCGGCCAGATTATCTTCTCCTAATTTAAGGTTTTGGTATCGTCATGCATCATCACCGGGGCCCGGCGAGTTACTCAGCACCTCGAGGGACTGGAAGACCACTCAGAGACGGAGACGGTAAGAAAAGTCACGGCGTTGCTCTTTAGGAGGGAAAATCGGATCTGGAATAACCGAACTCTAAAGGAACTGTGATGAGGGCTAGTTCTAAACCTGGGTACGCTTAAAAGGCTGAACTGCCCACGGTCATTAACATGTCCAGTTTCACAGACAGAGAAACCTGTTTAAAATCAGCGAGCACAGTCCTCTTGGTGGGCAAGGCCTTTGAGGCTGGTCTCAGTGTCTGGCCCTCAGAGTTTCAGATTCACTTTCAGAAAACTTTTCTTAGGGGCACGGGCTCCCAGAAGACAAAGGTGAGCCTTGTCAGGGTGCCTCTGTTTGGGGACCTCAAGAACACCAAACAAGGTGCTGGTTGTTGCTCAGTAAAATGTGAAAACAGTAGAAAAGCAACAGTAAGCAATGAAATCTAAGTTAGCTGGCATCCCGTACGCTCCCAACTCCTGAGACTAAGGCCAAGGTTGCTTGTAAATTGCAGGACTCAACGCATCTCTTGGTGGCTCCCTCCAGGATGACGGAAGGGTTCCACGTGAGCACCTGCCACGCTGACGTTCTGAATGCCGCGACTCTGCGTCTGAAGCTTCCCGCCAGACTTCGTGACACCGCGATTAATATCCAGGATGCCCCGGAAACAAATGTGAAAGATGCAGATAGAGATTTATCGGCCTGTTAATTGCAGCATTATTTATAGTAGCTAAAAAATGGGAAGTTAAATGCCTAACACATAGGCGCGTGGTTCTATTGTTTCATATCTACATTATACAGCCATTAAGAATCATGTCTTTGAGGAACATTTGGTGATAAGAAAAATACTTATGATATAATGAGAAATCAAAAAGGTACAGAATTGAAGACGATAAAATTTATTTATTCGTTTATTTATGGGTTTTTCCCTCTGGTCATATATATGCATATGGCAGAACTGAACTAAAATAAAATATTCATAGTGGTTATCTTTAAGTAATGAGAAACTAAGTTATTTTTCTGGATCTCTGTATTCTTTCCTGTAATTTTTTAGTTTCAGACAAAATTTTCCTTTCTACTTTTATAATAGTATAGTTTTAAAAAACCAATTGTCAGCTCTCACAAGAATACCCAGCTATGCCAGGCCCAATCTACTGTATAATTATTATTAATAAATGAGAATATAGTGAATTCCTGTCCTCATGTGTGAATAATTACACACAACAAAAACTTATGTCTCAGTTAATAACCTCTGGGCAGGAGGCTTTAAATCTCATAATTTGCATTAAAATTTATCCTATCAAAGGACTGCCCACTATATGAAATAGTGTTAGCGTTGATGCCGTAAGAGGTCACTGATGCCTGTTGAGTACATACCCTGGGCCAGGTGATTACGTGTGAGCTTGAGAAAGGTCACGCTCGAGAAAGGTCAAATAACTTGCCAGGGTCATATATTCACCGATGAAAACAGATTCCAACCCTCGCCTCTGGTTCGAAAGCCTTTTCTCCCTTGACCACCACAGGGCTGGTGGAAACTTCAGATGACACCAGACTTCATTTCAGACACTTAAGAATATCCTAAAATATTTTGCTAGCATTCCCAATGTGTGGCCAGAGAAGAAGTGATTTTGCTTCTTTACTTTCACATAACCCAAAGGAGGTGTCACGGACCAGGAGGACAAGTGCACAGCTCACCCGCTGGGAGCCCAGAGGAGACAGGCAGTGGCGGTGAAGTGTTGCCAGGTCTCTGCGCCGTGACGGCGGTGGCCGGCGGTGGCCGGCGGTGGCGGCTGACAAGTGCTGCAGGTTCCACAACGGCACCAACATCCTGCCTGCCCGGGCCAGCGGCTGCTCCTCCCTCCTCCCTGACCCGAACCCATCTCTCAACAGCTGGTCCTTTGGGTTGGTTACAAAGCCCACCTCATGGGCTCTGGACAGGTATTTTTTAAATCTAAAGACCTCCCTTTGGAAAGGCCGGAGATCTCGAACACGCTCCCCTTTCACTCTTCCCACGAACTAGTAACAGTGCTCAGCACGGAGCCTCCGGGCTACATGTTGTATTGGGCCGCGTTTGACACGTACCATCTAATTTCATTCAATCAGCAGATGAGTTTGTAACAGTAGCAACACCCTTCTCAGGTAGAGCCTCACAGTTCCCCAGCGCATCCCACCCGTTATTCCCGGCTTCTCACACCAGGCACACCCCCGCTTTCCCTGGCTCCTGGACCCCCGCAGCTTCCTCGGGGCACGGACAGACCCGCTCAGGGGATGTCCCGGAAGCCAGGGGCCTGGAGAGGAGGTCCAGGGTGAGGATGGGGGGAAGGAGACCCTGAAGAGGGAAGACCACCTCTACTCAGGAGCAGCATCCCCTCCGGGAGCCCTAAACGGACGGCTTCCTCCTCTAGCTTTCCATTTCCTCGATTCCATTCGTTTTTGCCATCCGGGAAGCTGTTCTTGATTATCCAGCACAAAGAAACCTCAGCGATAATGCCTTAAGGATTTCCCGCTCTCGGCTCGTTACGACATCATGCTAGTTTTTGACGGAGGCTTCGTCATCCATTTTACAAGTGAGGAAAAGGGGTTAAGTAACTCACCAAGCTGCGAAGTCCAAATTTCAGACTACATCACGTCACAGCGGCCTCCCCTTCCTGCACACTCACTCATCTTGTATGGGGCCCCCGTGTTCCTTACGTCCTCAGCTGTCTGAGGGCAGACGCAAGCCTTACAATCCCGTGTAAACCACCCCTCCCCAGCCCTCAGCAGGGCTCCGTGTACATAGCAGGTTCTCAATGAGCATCACGTGGTACATATCTGTTTGGTAGGAACAGTGATCAGTAAGAGGGAATTTTTGGTACTCTAAATGTCAGGCTCTTTGCTGTATATAATTAAAACAAGAGTAAACATGAAATGTATGATTTCTCCTAGCTCTAGTTAATCAAGCATTTATCACCATGTCTGATTCCGTGTTATGTAAAAAGAACTGCTTAGTAAGCATTTTCTGTGACGAGGGTAATCAGATACACACGGATTATCAGAGATGTTTTTGAAAAGACAAAAACAAGACCATCAAACATATGGAGAGATAATGATCTATGTGGCATAATAGTCCACCTGAGACTAAAGAACTTCCGAGGCAAAGACAGTACTTGACTAATTTGGGGCAAAGCAAGGAACACAAAGAGAGGAAGTCAGGATGCTGACTGGGGCCTGGTACCATTATATCTGTATCAAGAAAACAGACACATCACGCTACAGTTCTGGGTCTGAAACAGAAGAGAGGTACACTTTCCAGGGCTTTTCTGGGAGACGGAGTTTGCTCGGACACCTCTTCAACATAGCAGTCACATCATTACCACCTTCACTGACGGGCAAACGGAATAAATGCACATGCCATGTCCAACTTCTCACCCTGCTGGGTCTCTTTCCATTCGGCCTCCCAACACATCATTAGTTTATAGCACTGGAAATGTGAAGGCTCAAGCAAGTTCATCGAGTGAGAATTTGTATGGTACAGATTAGCTCAAGCACCTGTAAGCTGACATTCTGTAACCTGAGCCAACAATAGCAGAGCCAAGCTACTGCCTCCGACTGTCACAGCAAACACAGCCATCCTGGTAAGAGGCAGGACTTCTCATGTTCTCTGTGTTATAAATAAAGCGCCACCTCCCAGGAGCATTCACCCAACATCGAGCAAGAGCAAACACCAAGTTCACGGCACCTACATTTGCGTCCTCATGGCTGTGGCCGTTGGTCTCGACCAATTCCTTGGTACCTTTGAACTGCAAATTCAAAAAAACAACAACGAATGAATAAACAAGCATATCCATCAAGTGTACATCATCCTATTAACCCTGATTCGTCTGGGGTTGCACTTTATAAAACTTCCGATGAGAAAAACAACAACAACAACAAAAGATGGAGCACATCATTCTCACGAGTCTCACTGAAACCAGTGTGAGACCAATATGTTGTGAAACTTGATGGCTGGCAAAAAAATAAATGGGTCTTGGTCATTATTTCTTAAATAATAAGATTAGAAAGCAATTCCATAGGCACAAAATGTACAAAAAATTTGGTTATTAAGAATAAAAAATGATTTTATTTCCTAGTTGCATTGCTGTAGATTGAACCCCTGCAGTGCTTGTGAGATGCCACCACCCAGCTGATGTCACAGGGACCACTGTTCATGAAGGGAACATCTGGGATGGCGTGAATTTGCCACAGACCACTGTCCGTGTCCCCCCGAACACGTCTGGATGACTGACACTGTTTCTGGGGCCTAAAAGAAGACGATTTGCTTCTTCCCATCAAGGAGAATGGAAAAGACATCTTGGTCCCTGAGGCTTGAGGAGAAAAGCTATGTCTCAAACAAGATCTCTAACAGGGAGCATTTGAAAACGCTCCTCTCTGGGTTCTCGCAGAAGGATCAGCAGTAACCAGCTGTGAGGAGATTTCTGGAAACTCTGAACTGGCATTTCATCCTCGCCTGGCTCAGAGTGGACACGTGCGGGCCGAGAGCAGGGCAGAGGGGAGCGGGCCTTGCAGCCTCAAACTCCCAGCAAGAAAGCCGTATGCTTTTCATGGCAAGATGGGGGCTTTGCCAAGGAAATGGGGACATGAAGACATTGAGTGGGGCAGCTGACGACGGCTCATGCCCACATCACGCCCACTCATGAAAACAATTCTGCCCACTGTTCTTCAGGGCTATGTCGTTGATGTTTCCACACATAGCAGGCGTCCGGGAGCAGGGGCCACGTGGGACGTGTGTGGGAAGAAAAGGCACACAGGGATCCAAGCACGCTCTATGATCGGGAGGACTTAACCCCTCTCAGGTTTCCTGTGTTAAGGCTTTATAGTGCAGGTGCTCCTCACCTTCATCCTCTCCATCAACCCTCCTGCTCCTCCCACCTCAGGTCCTGAAACTCATGCTCCTCCGGGTGAGGGTGGGGTTGGCTCAGAAGGTTGTTATTTTCGGCCAAAGCACAGGACGAGGGCTCACTGTGCACGCGGACTGCCATGAACGTGCCCCTTTGCGTCGATTCCAGCTTCGTCCTCCACCTTCTCCTCTAACTCTGCCCTCGCTCTGTCCGCCTCCCACTTGCTCTCCTCTCTCCCTGCCCCCAAATCACCGCAGCCCTGCTCTCTTCCGCCAGGACGCCCGCGGGTCCCCTTTCCGGACAGCGGAGCCCCTCACTGGCCTGCTGCGCCCCCTGCTGGCCCCACACCGCCTCTTGGAGGGCGGAATATCCTCTCACGGCGCCTGGGTTTGTGAACAAGCTCCAGGCTGGAAGGTGCCCTGTGCAAAGGAGATGAAAGGCAGAAGCGGAGGGACTGGAGGGACCTAGAGAAGCAGCATCTTAGCAAACAGAACCCGGGAACGAGCCTGCCTTCCCGGGATGGGTGGGCTGCTGGGGGTCAGGGTCTGCTCACAACCTAGTCTTTCTTCTCAGGATCCCCATCAGGTGGCAGTCACTGTGAACAGTGAAATTCCAAGTCTTCAGAGAAGGGTAGATCTTTTCATGTGTGTGTGTGTAAAAGCAGGACTCCAGACCCAAATAATCAGAATCTCTATGAGTGAGGCCATTTATTTAAGCCCTATCTATGCAGGCGCTCGAAAAGGTGTTTCCACATGGAGTTAGTTACTTGACACAAGTCAAAGTCTCGTAAGGCGATGCTCACGGAAGTAGACGAGTGTTTGTAAGTGTCTGTCTCTGGGTGGGTGGCTGCCGGGCAAAAGGAACATGTCCAGTGCATGCTCCCATCGGCCCGGGTGACGGCTGCAGGGCAGGGGCTGTCGGGAAGCAGCCTGGGGGTGGCAGACGCGCCCGAATGCATTCTGCGGCTGTGGGCCGGCTTAGGCAAATGTGCTCCGTGCCTTTGCTCACAAAGAGCCACCCATGTAATGGTGCAGCCGACTTAAAGACTCTTTCTTTCCAGGCACGTTTCCCAGGTTTTCAATGACGTTAGTTGTTCTGAATCTTCCTCACATTCCTGTTTAGTTTTGTTAGGCAACGGAGAGTGAAGTGTGATGCTGCCCCAGGACATGTGTGCGCTTTGCTCTTCCAAGGTGCACGCCATGAGAAGAACTTAAGAATACAGCAATGCTTTCTGCAAAACTTTGAACCAACTTTTTCACTGGGATTTGGACTTCAAATCGAAAAGAAAGATTTGAGTCCCTCAGAGAGAGGTCGCACATGCACAGGACTGTGAGCACCAGAGGTCAGGGTGAGTCTGTCTGCTCAGGAGCAAATCTGAACGCAATCGGCTCCACTTCGCTAGGCGTCGTCGTCGTAACAGAGCAGAGGGGAGCGGTGACTCCAGGTGTCTAAGGCAGTGGTCGTGTGAGGGTGGTAAACAAGGTTTCAGCTCAGTCTAACTCACCCAAAACCATACTAATTCAGCCTCAGTCTGAGCTGCTGAATATGCAGTAATTGTATGGAGATAATAATTTGTTTTATAAAGCATCTTCCTCAAAAGCTGTAAAAGTTTATAAAGTGCCCATCACCTTCACTTTTCTCTCACAAATCACTTACACTTTTAGGGAAAAGTAAAATATATATATTTTGTCCCAAATCATTAAAAAACAAACACTTGTAATGTGACTGCATCACAGCTGACTCGGGTCACACTCTCCCAACTTCAAATGTTTAAAAAGGTCACTCTGGCAGTTATCTATATCACACAAATTATGTTTTCATGAACTACTGTAAGTTAAAAATGTAAAACAACTTGAATTCGGTCGGGGCTGGAGTTGCTGCGTGTGCGCTCCCTCCCGGTCCCCACGCATCACGCTGGGGCAGCAAGGACAGGCCCTGGCAGGACAGCTGCCGAGAGCTGTCCCGGCTTCTCCCGCGCAGACCCGGGCTCAGACGCACGGTGCGGCCAAGCCGGCGCCTCACCCCGCTGCACAGCACCCTCAAAGCCACTCATCAATGTCAGGCCCCACTTGAGAATCCGAGAGAGCCAAAGAAGATGATCAGATTTACGAACTTCATGTAGAAGGTTTGCTGCTGGCTGTGGTGGGATCAGAGACCTGACGCACAGGGAAGGATCCGTCCTTCTCCTGCGCGTGTCGGCAGGGGTGCCACGGGTTATGCTAACCACGTTGCCTCACTATTAGACTTCAGAGGACACTAGCCGCTTGCTTGGAAATAGACCTGCACTGCCAAGATTTTAAAACTTGACCAAAATTCATCTGTCTTAGGGAAGAAACTTTCACACATCGCTGGTGGGGTGGGTGGTCTAAAGAGGTACCTCCGTGTGAGAGGAGGTGCTGGGAATGCCATCATAAGTCCCCCAGGGCGAAGCGCTAGGAGGCTGGGCAGGTTGACCTGGGTCGCATGAGAGCTGGTTGGCCCTGTGCAGCTACTGGGTTCACGTACCTGCTCCTGGAGGACTTTAAGCAATGCCTGTGTGTGGGACTGCTCTTCCTTCGCTTGTTCCAGCTCCGACTTCTTGTTGTTCAGCTCCTCCTGGATGGTCAGCAATTGCTGTAAGTCAGAGGATATTTAGGGTAAGTAGGACCGAAGGCCCGGTGATGGGAAGACACTCAAAATATCCATTCAAGACCATGAGAAGATCTTTACATCTTAAAGCTTAGTCCGCAGGTCAGTTGACCTGTGTGTGTTGCTCTCCTCTCAGCTGACACTCACAAGGACTGTAGTTTATGACACATTATCAGGCGGTTTGTGATACCACTGCACAATAAAACATGTCTGTTGTAGTATTTGCGAAGGTACCATTATAGCCCTTTGAACAAATGCATATTTGTGAAAATACGTAGAACGGCGTTCTTAAACAACTTACTAACAGAAGAAAATAAAAAATATATAATTGGTCATCTTGTCCAAGATTACTTCATATTACATAGGACAGTAAAGCTACTCCACCAAGTGGCCGGGACCACAGAGGATCCCTTTACTTTCTCTGTTATGACAGTGATGTTTTATTAGATCAGTGGGACTGAAGCCCAAACTGCAATCAACATATCAGTCGAGAAAACTGCTGATATGAGCTGTCAAAACTCCACAGCTGCGGGCTGCACTGCTGTTTCTCAGCCGGGCCGCTGAGGGGCTCTTGGTAGACCCTGAGCTGTCCTGCCCTCTCAGCTGTAACCCACACGGCGGCCACCTGCTCTGCCAAAGCCCAGCCCTGCCCAGCACTGACTCTTTGGAACACAGTTAAACGTTAATACACACACAGGCTGGAGAATGCTCCCGAGCTCCAGAACAGCTGAGGCTCCGGAAACAGCTATGTCTATTTAAAGCTTCTTGACCACAATGGGCTGGTTTAAGCCCAGCCGTTGTGGCTCAGTGGTTGAGCATCGACCCATGCACCAAGAGGTCACTGGTTCGATTCCTGGTCAGGGCACATGCCCAGGTTGTGGGCCTGATCCCCAGTCGGGGCATGCAGGAGGCGGCTGATTGATGTTCTCTTCTCGTCGATGTTTCCATCTCTCTCTCCCTCTCCCTTCCTCTCTCTAAAATCAATAAAAAATAAAAAATAAAAATAAGGATAAATAAATAAAAGAACTGGTTTAAAAATTTCTTCTGCTATTGTAGGTAACAGATGCTCTCCTGATGCTATGAATAGATTAGGGCTCTCCTGCTTCTTTGGGACCTTGACAAACTGGCTGCAGAGCTGCCTGGCCAGTTCTTAACTAAAAGGCCGGAATAAACACTGGCACTGGGCTTCTGAGGCTTGAAGCCACCAACTGGAAGGATTAAATTAAATCTTCAAAACCACTAGTTTGGAGGCATGTTGGGGAGTAGTAAGTACTTGGAAAAACACTCTGTATATTCCCTTGGGCTTGCTTGCTCTGGTCCCCACTCTGGCACTGGATACAAACTAAAGAAAGTACTTTGGCCCCTTAGCATAAACAGTAATTTCCTTACAATTTTCCAGAAAGTCAGTGCCTCCTATTTCACCGGCGGCTCACATGTAAAGTAGTACATACCTCCCACACTGGCTCCCTCAACACTTCATGTGATTTATTCGTGACAACAGAAACCAGGGAGCCCACCCTGTACTCGAGCACCATGCCAAGGACCTAAAAGGACAGTTTGCAAACAGTGGGAACAACCCTGTTCCTCCCTTCTCATCCCTGACCGGCCCAACCAGTTCTGAGGGGATCTGGTGCTCTGACTTTGACGATGCCAAGTAAATTTTTCTTTTTTAATCCTCACCTGAGGACTTGCTTAGAGAGAGGAAGGAAGAGAGTGAGAGAGAAACACTGATGTGAAAGAGAAACCGATGGTTGTCTTCCATTATACTCCCCAACTAGGGATCAAACCCTCAACCCAGGCAAGTGCCTTGACCAGGAATTGAACCAGCAACCCTTTGGTGCAGGGACGATGCTCAACTAACTGAGCCACTCTGGCTGGGCAATGCCAAGTAAATGTTTACATCATTAGACAATTTCAAATCCAATCCTTAAACCTCCTTTAAAAATAAGCCAAGTTGAAGGGCAGAAAATTATCTTCAAAGGTAGGTAGATTATGTTTGTTCCCAGAGCACTTGGAATAACAAAATTTAGAACAACCACTGTCCAGCAGAAGGGGCTTGGCCGCATGAATGATCGCACATCTGTGCAATGGAAAACTATGTAGCCATTAAAAATGAAGCTGCACAGATGTCTCGGGACATACAGAAAGCACACAATACGCTGTTCCCTGCTCTAAAAGGCCAGGTTACAAAAAGATTTCACTGAACTGCAACATATTCATAGAACAGGATCTGGATACTATTTCTGGGTTAGAGGGTTTATGGATCTTCCTGTTAGTTTTGCTTGTAATGTTTGGCTATGTGTCTAAGAAGCATATCCTGCTTTGGTAATGAGAAAAAAAATCAAAAGAACTTGATTAAGGTGAGGAAAGGGTAAGGAAGAGCATACTACTTGGATATGACCAGTGAATAAAGCAGAGGAAATGTGAGGACTCGGTTTGAGTCTACTATTTCATCTACACATTTATAACACTTCTTCATTCTACCAAAACACAAGCACAGCCCGGCTGGTGTGGCTTGGCGGTTGAGCGTTGACACATGCACTAAGAGGCTGCCGGTTCAACTCCCAGTCAGGGCACATGCCCTAGTTGTAGGCCAAATCCCCAACGCGGGGCATGCAGGAGGCAGCCAATCGATGTTTTTTCTCATTGATGTATCTATCTCTCTCTCCCTCTCCCTTCCTCTTTCTAAAATAAATAAAGAAAAAGACATCAACAAAAAAAACCCCATAAGCACAATACCACGGGGCTGTAATGTATAGAATAGGGAATATAGTCAACAGCATTGTTTAAAAAAACCAGTGTGGATGCACTTAACACTACTAGACTACACTTAAAATGGCTAAGATGGTCAATTTTGTGTTGTACAAACAAATTGTACCACAGTTAAAAATTAGAAATTAAAAAAAAATGACACACACACACACACACACATAGCACTTTCCCTTGACATCACTTCCCATTTTAAGCCCCCATCCTGTCTCATTTCTCCCTGGTATCACACTGTTTAAATAAAATGTCTTCTCCCTCATTCACTTCCTTTTCTTCTCATGTGTAGGCAATCACTTTCAATCATGTCTACTTTTCTATTCGAATGTGTTTTTCCAAAATATATATTTGCGTATGCATTGTTTTTTTTATCCTCACCCAAGGGCATTTTTCCATTTTTTGTTCTGATAAAGCAGGAGGGAGAGGAAGAGAGAGAGAGAGCGAAACATTGATGTGAAAGGGACACATCGAGTGGCTGCCACCCGCATGACCAACCAGGGCCGGGGACAAACTGCAACCGAGGTACGTGCCCTTAGTGGAAACTGAACCCGGGTCTCTCTGGACTGCAGGCCAATGCTCTAACTGCTGAGCCAAACCGGTCAGGGCTGAATATGCATTTTTTATGTAAGTGATATTATCATATTTATTATTTAGTAAGCATTATGTTTTTAAAAATTTTTTTATTGATTTTTTTAGAGAGAGAGGATGGGAGAGAGAGAGAGAAACATCCATTGGCTGCCTCCTGCATGCCCCCTACTGGGGATCGAGCCCAAAACCCGGGCATGTGCCCTGACCGGGAATTGAACTGGGACCTCTCAGTCCATGGGATGACGCTCAATCCACTGAGCCACACCAGCCAGGCAATCATTATGTTTTTAAGGTCCAATCATGTTAATATGTATAGAGGGTGGGGCAAAAGTAGGTTACATTTGTTTTTATGGAAAATAATACAGTAATTGATAAACAGTAATACAAGAATAAACTCTGTGTTTTGCATATTCACAGCTATAAACTGACTTTTGCCCCATCCTGTGTAAATAATCAATCGCTGCTGATGCTGCATAATATTCTATGAAGTGCATCCACCCAGTGATACCTAATGGACTCGCTCAGACCATCTTCAGCTCTCCCTTCCCTAGCGAGGCTACGAAGGGTCATGCCGGTGCATGCTCTCTATGGACCTGTGGGAGCATCTCCCCGGCACAGTTCCAAGGGGCTGCCTCAGGAGTCCCTTGGCCGAAGCTCCCTGCAGGATGGTGTACCAGTCCACACTCCCGCCAGTATTACATCAGAGTGGCCGTGCGCCACACCCACACAAACACAGCACCGTCCAGCTTTCTAATAGTTGTCCGTCTAATCACATAAAGATTCTGCATCCTTTAAAAGTTTTGTACCTCTCTGATTCCCTGTGATTTTAAGCATCTCATTATATGCTCTCTAGCTGCTGGAGTTTATGGATACTTCTTTTAAATCTTTTTTCTTCATCCGAGGATATTCTTTATTAAAAACTGATTTTAGAGAGAGGAAGGGGGAGAGGGAGAAGGAGAGAGAGGGAGGGAGAGAAATATCAACAGGTTGCCTCCCTGACTGGCACATACCACAGCCCGGGTATGTGCCCCGACTGGGAATCAAACCCACCACCCTTCAGTGCACAGGATGACACTCCAACCAACTGAGCCACACTGGCCAGGGCTGTTTAGGCTTCTTAAAAGAACAGTCAAAGGTGATGGTTTTTAAAGTTGGAGGACGTTGAAAAATGCTGGTTCTTGGGCCCCATAGCACTACTTAACTCGGAATATCTAGAGGTGTGACCCAGGCAACTATGCTTTTTAAAAAAAAACTTCACATATGATTCCACTTATTTGTGGAATCCAAAACCCAAAATAAACAAACAAACAAAACAGAAACAAACTCATAGATACAAAAAAACAAATTGATGATTGCCAGATGGGAAGGGGATTGGGAGCCAGTTGAAAAGGTGAACGGATGAGGAAGTACAAATTGTTAGTGCCAGAAGAGTCGGGATGTGCAGTACAGCATGGGGAACAGTCAATAACACTGCAATACTATGCATGGCGCCAGGTGGGCAGAGTTAGGGCGATTGCTTCATAAGTCATATGTATGTCTCATCACTATGCTGTACACCTGAAACTCATATAATATTGTATGTCATCTGTAATTGAAAAATAAGTTAATTAAAAAAATATTTTTTAAATGTT